TTTGATTCAGCTACAGTTTTCTTTCCTGACATTGTTTACTTTGTATGAATATGAAGGACCTCTTCCCTTACATCTGAATCGTTCCTCTGTGTATTTTGATTCAGCTATGGTTTCCTGTACTGACACTGATGCATTAGTAAAATAAATTACATACCAGACTAGTACAACAGAACACAAGGTCATGTATCCTGAGGCAAGTTACAGCTACATTGTCCTCTCACTAGCACAAACACCGAACTTGCTCTGTAACTATAACCAAACCAAAAATAAAATGGGGGGCGCAAATGTTTCAACTGCCAAGAAAGAATATCGTAGTTACACAATTTTTCAGATCCAATGAAGCCTGTTTTAAACCCAGAAAGAACGAGAAGTCCAATGAAATAAAGAATAATAATAATAAATAACATAAGAAAAAATGAAGTTAATTTTATTTTCTATGAAATATTCACAACTATATGTGTATCTGTATATTTCTTTACGATTACGAACTGTAAGTGTATTTAATACTTTTCTCACATTTTTCAGAACACTGGCACGTTCTCTGAAACCTCCGAGCTATCGACATAAAAACTCCGACAGCCGGTTTCAGTTTGACTACCAATTTACTCACCATAACACTCGTGCATCTTTAATAAAGTAAAGTCAAACTAAGTTATCAGTATTTTCAAACAAAAACAAAGTAACGCTAAACATGAATGTTAAAACAGAAATAAATGATTTCCTATATATATAAAAAGTAGATTTAAAATTATAATTTTTTTTTCTCAAGACAAGGTGGGTTTACAGCCTTGAAAGACAAAGTGGTCCTTCATTGTCCAAAATGTTACATACTTGAAAACAAATAGGTTTACTCTGCTTTCATTGTACCACCAGTATGACATGCTAACGTTACAGTAACTTACTTGTAGTTGATTAGTTGATTTATAAAAACAGGATCAGGTAATGGATGTCAAGAAATATTTTCTGTGTTACGATTCACACCAAAATCTTAGCACACTCAAGAGGTCTCTGTTTCTCTGCTCAACTTGTAATACTGTGAAAACAACAAATTTTCAGGTTTAAATTTCTGATAATTTCTTACCCGGGTATCTCCTTGAGCATCACTGAGTTTCTGCTTTAAATCGTCAACCTCAGTCTGAAGTGCCCGATTTTTTTCTTTCAGCTCGCAAAGCAGCTGGGCAAGGCTCTGAAATGTATCGTATTCATTAGCATCTTAGAAGATGATAACTTTTGAAAAAAAGTCTTTGTGTTTACTAAACGACCGGTTTAACGTCTTCAGAAGGACCACAGTGGACAACAGTCACAAGATAACAGTTATACATAATGGGAGTGTGATAAATAAATTTTGTTTGTTTTCAGACATTCACACAAAGCTACGCAAGGACTATCTGCACTGGCTGTCTATAATTTTGAATTGATAGATTAGAGAGAAGGCAGCTAGTCAATAGCATCCACTGCTAAATTTTCGACTACTCTTGTCCTACTGAATAGCAGGAATTAACTGTCACTCTTATAGTGCACACATGGCCCTAAAGTGCAAAAAAAATATTTTTTTGTAGTAACTAAATATTTACCAAGAAGAATTATTGTCATTGGCATTTAACGACAAATTAAAATTGTCTTTTTCTATCAATTCCTTAAAGCTATGTAAAGAATGTCTTGTAGTATGAATAATTCCTTTAAGCTGTGTAAACAATGTCTTGTAGTATGAATAATTCCTTAAAGCTATGTAAACAATGTCTTGTAGTATGAATAATTCCTTAAAAGCTGTGTAAAACAATGTCTTGTAGTATGAACAATTCCTTAAAGCTGTTTAAACAATGTCTTGTAGTATGAATAATTCCTTAATGCTGTGTAAACAATGTCTTGTAGTATGAATAATTCCTTAAATTTGTGTAAACAATGTCTTGTAGTATGAATAATTCCTTAAATTTGTGTAAACAATGTCTTGTAGTATGAATAATTCCTTAAAGCTATGTAAACAATGTCTTGTAGTATGGATAATTCCTTAGATTTGTGTAAACAATGTATTGTAGTATGAATAACTCCTTAAAGCTATGTAAACAATCTCTTGTGGTAGGAACAATTCTATACAGTCATGTAAATAATGCCTTTTAACGTGAACAATTCCTTAGAGCTATGTGAGTATTAATTTATGGTAACAATAAATCTTTACACTCTTGTAAACAACATGTTACAGTACAAACAATTCCTTGCAGCCTTGTGAACAAACTTATGTAACTTAAATCATTCTTTATAAACTTGTTAAACAAAGTATTGTAACTTGGATAATTCCATACAGCTAAAACATTAGAATTTCAAAAATCATGTTTTTTTTAGGGGGAAAATGACATAGTTGTGCTTTTTGCTGCTAGTGCCTTAAATTATAATTTTTTTTGACATCTACAACTTTTGTTTTCTGAAATTTAGTATTATTCTTTATAATTTTACTATAGTCTCATTTATTTTTTAAAAATATCATGTTCTTTAAACAAATTGCAGACTTTCAACCAACACGTAAGGTAAAAACAAAATAAACAGAGAACTGCCACACAAGTTCTTTTTATAATTCAAAATACCGACACACACAGTTCTGTAGTCAGTAAAAAGGAACTGGATTCTGTTAGTTTTTTCAACCTTGCTTTTTTTTATACTGTGTACTGATGTTCCGAGTGCTTCAGTTAGTTAACAATATGCATTCCAAACTAAAAAGAAAATCTTACCTGTTCACCCTCCCCCCTAAAACCTCGAATGTCGTACACACCCATGAGTGATGGACCCTGAAATGCAACGGTATTTAAGTTGTTAGATGAAACTATAAGCAACAAGAGGCAACAAAAATTCATATAATAATAAAATAAAAACCGTAATTCTGAGTTACATAAACACAATTAGGTTAATAGTCAAGAAAGTTACACAGTAGAACTTTATATAACTGAATCACAATTTTTGAATTGTACAGATTATGTTTTTTTTGGAATAGAAAAGGTACAAACATTTAAATTAACTATTTATTCTTAAGTCTTGGGTATCACTTTATATATACCAGCTGAGGATACCCGTTGAAAAAGCAAAAGCTGTATAAAGGACGACGTCAGATAATGTGCCCCTTCCTTCTTTATTTTGTTATTAAATCCCCAATGACATCACTAGATGCTAACTGCATGCCCTACTTTGTGGAAGGTAATAATCGACTCATTTAACTTGTGTCTTTAAATTCAAAGTTAGAAGTCTTTTAAAAAATGTGGAATTGTACCCTGTTTCGGGGTCTGTTTTATCCCACTTTTCGGGTAAAAATCCTAAACAAAATAGCTCATGTACACCATCGGACAGTTTCCAAGTAAAATGGCAAAAATTATGATAATCAAGCATGCCAAGGCTGGATAATGGATGCTGAATGCCAGCATCCATTATCCAGCCCATTAGGTGTATATCAGCATCCATTATCCAGCCCATTAGGTGTATAACACCTAATGGATTATCTTTAAAGCAAGATGAGGGATTTTAGTCATATTTCCACAATGAAAACAAGATATGTTGGATAAACGCTGTCCTTTTCTTCCTCTTTTGACAAATGTTGAATCTTAATTCCAATAATATTCTACCATTTTTAATCATACGATCGGGGAATGAGCCCTTTCCATAGTTGACTGAGTACTAAGATAGTTAACTTGTATGGGGTTCTTTTATACAAGGACGAATCCCTGAAATTGTTTTCTCTTGAAAAAAGAAGCTGATTAAGATTGTTAAGGGATTGATTATATTGATACATCATATTTTTCTAACAGGGTGGATGGCCTTTAGAATGTGTTGCATTCAGGTGTGGTGAAAACAGTAGATTTAAGAGTTTGTAAAGAAAGGCTTGACAAACATTTGAATGATAAGGGTTGGCTTTGAGATTTTTTTTATATAGTTTAATTTAGTCGATGGGACAGCCTAGATGGACCAACAGGTCCCTTGTTGTCCTTTAATGTTACAAGTTATGTATTTATCATGAACAAGAATATCACAAAGGGTTTAATTTTTCTTTCAATCCCAACATCAGGCTTTTTTTTTTCTAACTCCAAGAGAATCCTAACATATTGATATAACAAGAAAATGTGGAGTTTACTTGTATTACATTTAACCCAGATATTGTTTAAAAGAATATTATTTGAGTTTCAAAATAGCCCTACACAATATTCTGTAATAACTGGTTAGTCTGATCTACACTGTTACTCTTTTGAATTTATTACATCATTGTTTTTTTAATTCTTCTTGTGTCAACTTTCCCATCTTTTGTTATTTGAACTCCTGACAATAAAATAAAATGCTTCCTATTCGTCCACATTTTTGTGGGCCATATTTCTCAACAAATACCAACCAGGATTAGCATGTTACTTTCGCTACTGTTATATGGTTTTCGAAAACAATCTTTCACAATGTTGTTTGTGCTTATCATACCCTAAAGGATCAGTAATTCAGTTATTTCTGGTGTGATGTTATTTTTAATACGTATTTACCTTAATTAAATAAACTGTTTTTGATCTCATGTTTAAAGGACTTTATTATAATGAGATAATAATTCATTTAACTTTGGTTCTTGTAATGACTGTTGAATAACCTTTTGATTTAGATTATTTTTTAACAATCAATAAAAATAAATGTAAGTTAACAAGTGATAGAGAAGAACACCTGAAGTTTCAATAATTACTGGTCATCAGTATTACTTTTCAAACAGGGTGGTTAGCTTTTGGAACTGAAATTTAATGAATTGTGATGCCGGTCGGGAGCCATTTCCAACATAACCATTATTACCCCCATAAAAACATTTCCAGCTCACTGTCTTTTGCCTCGTTCTTTTGCATTTATTAGGTTTCAACCATTGTTAGCAGGATCTTGAAAATTCATAAAAAATTTTGAAGGGACAAAAAAAGGAGCTTATCAGCCCATCAAGGATGTCTCTTCCAGCTCCCAACTATAACTACCCCTTACTACTCGTATATTCATCCGATCTTTTCTTGAACTGAGTTAAATTTTCTGCCTTCATCACCCTTGAAGGCAACTCGTAGCTCTTGACAACATAAGAAATACTCATATGGTGAACGTTTGTACAATTGTAGTCTTTTTTTTCAATTAACATTATGATTAAAATTCAAAAACAATGTTTCGCCACTTTTAATGTGGCATCATCACGTTAACAGGGGCAAAACGTTGTTTTAAAATGATATATTTTTCTATCCCATTTTACCTGTTTTTGAATTATAAATTTTGTAAAGTGTGGGAAACCGCCAACATTTATAAACATTATGGTTAGTTGAAGATATGCGATCCATAAGAGAATCAAAATGTTTACTTTTTGAATCAATTTTCTGCGTTCATTAATACATGTTTTTAATTGACATTCAGTCTCTCTAATGTGAGAGGAGCTACTTTATTTATCCTTGTTCAATTAGACGGATGTTGTTTGGTCGGTTCTCACTATCAAAAAACAAAACAATATCTCCCAAAATTATACATTTTACTATACCCAAAAAGTTATTAAACCTACAGTAAAATATACATGTTTCAGGTACGATTTAACATTATATTTTAACTTTTTAAGCAATTGTTCTTTTAATCATTATTCTCATGGATACTTAGAGATATCGTACAAGTTTTTTTTAGTGAGCTTATACGGTAGAAGTCCATAAGAACGTTCTTTTACATCGCAGCTAGTTATTTTGACAGTAGGAGAATGTTCAAGTATAAAAACAGTGCATGTATAAAAAAAGTTAACATAACCTATGAGCAACAATAGCCAATTTGATCCTTCAAGGTTGATTTTGCCTTTATCCTATTGATCATCTTTAAACTTCAATAACATCATCTCCAACATTTCTTTTCTCAACAAATAATATTAAGTTTCAGATAACTGAGGATCCTACCCATCCTTCCACACGTTTCTTTAACGAGTTGTATCTCTCTCGAAGTTGATCGGCCATCAACTTTAACTGGTCTCTCTCGCTACGATACTGGTCCAGCTCACGATTCAGAATCAAAACAGCTTCATTCTTACTTTCCAGTTTACATTTTGTGATGTTTAACTATGAACAAAAAATAACTAGTGTTACTACTGGCAACTGTTATTTTTCATTTTAGACACAGTTAATTTTTGTAAAGTAAGAACCAACATCATTTTGTTTCAAATTTTAGAAATTTTTCAAGAGTTCTACTAATGTACAATGTTTCTTTATTAATTAATTTACAACTTAAACATTAATATGAACCTCAATCTTTTATGGATCTGTATCACAAGATTTATCAGAAATAAACAATAACCCAAACTACAAAGCTGTGTACTATTATAGACTGTTTGTGCACATAGCTAAAAAACAACAATTAGATTAAAATAAGTTTGATACAAAAGTAGATAGTCCTAAACAAAACACATATTTCTGACTTTATTTAAGACTGGATAACAATTCAATTTTGAAGGCTTAACTTCAATGTTTGACCGCATGTCTATTCAACAACATTGCTGATTTTGTAAGAATGTGAAACGGTTCTCTCACGACATCAGCAAATTACAACAGTACTCGTATAACTATACGAGAATTTGGATTTAATATACAGTTAACTTTGTAATAATGGTAACAAAAAATACATTTTGGTAAAGTAAGAAACAGTGAAAAATAAGACATTTACATTTTATAAACAAACCATTGCCATTCTTTTGGTTTCTATTTTGATGCACTTCATTCAAACATCAGCTCTTACTCTGTCATATTTTGGAAACAAATCTAAAACTAGCTAGCTGGTACAGATATACTGATGATATTTTTGGTATATGGTATCATGGATGCTCATCTTTCTTGGAGTTTGTTGCATACCTTAATAATAAGCATACTGACATAAATCTCACACTAGCACATACTGACAATATCCAAAAATCTATACCATTTCTTGATACCATAGCCTCTATTAAAAATAACAACCTTATTACTACCATATGTTCTAAATCATGAGTTAAACCTATTATTATTATACACAATAATTCTCCCAAATTATGATGAATGTGGAGGGAAAAAACATAATCTGCAGATAACTTATTTTTATAACAACTTTTACTTTTAGGCCTGTTGATTTTTTAATTGTTAGACCATTGAAAGTGAAACTGAAAGATGTAACACTAAAAGTATTGTAATGATTACTTTTCTTGAGTTTCCCCAAATGTTTCTTCATTTCAACTCTTGCAACCATATTCTCATTAGTGGTTAACAATAAATCTAAAATCAAAATATTTGGTAAACACCACTATCTTGGATCAAAAACTCTCTACCAAATTAGTTGATTACATACAAAGTCAGTGCTAAAAAAGAAAATTAAAGTATCCCACAGTTACTGTGTTCGCACACTGATGAAGTGGTATTAGTATTACTGTGACTTAATATACATAATTACAGTCAACAGATGTTTATGAGTTAGGCTTAAACTTCTAACCGCACTATACTGTAGAACCGAGTTACTCTTTTTTAAAGTTTGAGTTTTACTTTTAATGACTTAAGTTTATCCAACTCTTGATAGACAAGAATTTATCTTACTTCACTTCTGAGATTTTGACATTCCAATTGTAGTTGATGCCCGATTTTGGCCATATTTAATCACGGTTCCTGTAGAATGCCGGTCACTATTTCTTTATGTAATATGATCACAAAATATTTCATGATCAAACAAAACAGAAACTTAAGTACTGCATCAAAACTATTACTTTTAGTTTCTACAACCAATTTATCTACGCAGAGCTACCGTAAATAATCCTAACGGCCGCGTCATCTACCGACAAACAAATGAACTTCTTAGTTTTTAAATTCGATGACGAGGAACCCACTTTGAGACTAATAATGGCTGGAGACGGCTTAAATTGGTAATGAAGAAAAACTTTTAATATAAGTTTAACATGACAGCAAATGTACAACGTTTCGCCAAGGCTTTGTTTTTATAAGGTACCATCAGGTACAGATAATGTAATACGCTTGATGAAAAGGTGTATAATTGCTTT